CCCATCCTGAGTGCCTGCCACAACACCTGCGGGTTTTTCTCTTGTGTCCCCAGCCCTTCCTCTTCAGGCTCTTCTGTTTGTGTCTACATTTTCCCTAATGTGACTTCAGTTACCAGTTGTGAGAGAACACGTCTGGAAGGGCAGCGGCGGGGAGGAGTGTGGGTACTGTCCACGAGGAGGAGAGTGCGGGCATCCACCTCCACTGCATGCACTCAAGTGCCTTTGGAGCTTAGCACCAGGGACAAATGCAACCTATTCAAATTAGCAAGAATAAACGCACATACAAATATGCACACTGACCAGTTGCAGGCAGAAAACCCCCAAATATTTATCTCCAACTCAAAATCCTCTCTGAATTTGAGATTTGTATATTCAAGTTTTTCATCTGACATCTGTTCTTGCATGTCTCCTAATCTCAAACTAAACAGCCCCCAACTGAATTCTTAAGCTTCCTTCCAATCCTGTCCTCACTCCAGTTTTTCTCTTCTTAGTAAATGGCCCATCATCCCATCACGTAATGAAACTGAGGATCATTCTTAATGTTTCCTTCTAGTTTACTCCTCCGGCACATTTACACTTACATCTTGAACGTGAACCCTTTTCTGTTATTTCCCAGAGGTGCCACATGAGACTCAGGAGCCTGGATAGCCTCTTTCTAGGTCTCTCTGCTTCCCCCTCTTCCCAAAACATTTTCCACCTAACAGCTTAAGCTGTCTTTCAAACTGGTAAACCTTATTTTGGGTCAGTGGGCAACTGTGCCAAACACTATAGTTCTTTTTTTTTTTTTTACAATTTTTTTTCTGTATTGATTTTTAGAGAGAGAGGAAGAGAGAGATAGAAACATTGATTGGCTATCCCCTAAATTCCCCCCACTGAAAATCAGGTCCACAACCTGGGCATGTGCCCCGACCAGAAATTGAACTGGCAACCTCTTGGTGCATGGGTGGACGCTCAACCACTGAGCCACACCGGCCGGGCCAACACCACAGTTCTCGCACGACTGGGGCTGGCTTCTCTCTCTGGGCTCTCCTGCTGGTCGATGCATCCTGGCCACAAAGTCTTCTCCCTGCTGTCCAGGAACTTTAAGAGGTATTCATTCTCTCTTCTGCATGTAATTCTCTTTTGTCTGCTTTTTACCCGACATCCACTTATCTATCAATTGTCATTTAAAATAATACTGCCTTAGAACACCCATCCTTGAATCCTCAAATGCTGTCCCTTTCCACGGGTTTCTCTCATGGTGTTCTACTTTTTCTTACCAGAGCACTTATTACTACTTATAATCACAAATGTACTTGTTTTTATTGTTTTGTGTGGGACTCCATGAGTGTCAAGGATAATGCCTGGTTTCATTAGCCGACTTACAACACCTTGAGAAACATAGTAGGAATGTTTTCCGTATGCCGGGCCAGTGTGGATCAGTGGTTGAGCACCGACCCATGCACCAAGAGGTCACCAGTTCCATTCCCAGTCAGCACACATGCCAGGGTTGTGGGCCCAACCCCTAGTGGGGCATGCAGGAGGAAGCCAATCAATGTTCTCTCTCATGGATGTTTTTATCTCTCTCTGTCTCCCTTCCTCTCTCTAAAATCAATAAAGAAAAAAAAATTTTTTTCTTTAATAGCTTGAGTTAAAAGAAGTCACCCAGAACAATGGACAGGATACTCCTACATATTATATATCTGAAATCTAAAGTGTGTGTGTGTGTTTTAATCCTCACCCAAAGATATTTTTCCATTTATTTTCAGATACAATGGGAAGGAGGGAGGGACAGAGAGAATGAGAGAGAGAGAGGGGGAGAGACATTGATGTGAGAGACACACATTGATTGGTTGCCTCCCACACGACCCTAACCAGGGCTGGAACTGAACCGCAACCGAGGTACATGCCCTTGGTTGGAATCCAACCCTCGACTCTTTGGTCCACAGGCTGACACTCTAACCGCTGAGCCAAACTGGCCAGGGGTAAAGTATATTTTCAATAATGTTTCACAGCTCAGAGGACATAAGCCTTTTGACCAAATTTATCTGACCTTGTTCAGGACCAGTTGGCTTCAAATAAGTTTCCTTTAATTTTAAAGTTGGCAAAAACTGTGCTGTCTGCCACCAGAAGATAAGCTCTCACTGAGCTTGGACAAGTGATATTGCTAGAGCTCTGGGAACAGACTGGGACTGACACCTACAATCACGGCGCTAAATAAAGTTATGACAAACCTCATCACAGTGTTTCATTAGGAAGCATCTGACCTGGTCTGAGAAGGGCAGGGAGAATTAATGTGGCAAAAAAGCACACACCATAGCAAAGAGTTGCTTTGGTTTTCACAAGAAGTTAATTTATTCTAACATGGCTATTCTGATACTTTGTAGAAAACACACAATGATAAAAGTCTTTCAGTCCCTGATGGTCAGAAAGGTCTCTGAGGTGAAGCCGGTTATGACGAAAGAACAGACTCAGAGCTGTCCTCAGTGATACAGGGTCCCTGGGAACTTCCCTTCCTGTCTGTTGCATTCATCCTCTGGACAAGATGGACACAGAGGTGTAACACAGGGCGACATGCAAACTGATCTATGATCATGAAGTTCGGAGTAGAAATTGCAAGCAGAAAAGAAAGGGGTCTTCCAAGGTATGTACCTAAGACTTCTAATAATGTTTTCTCTTCTATACATGTTACATGTGTATGTATAAAAAGTCTACATAAGAAAACACTGTTAAATAATTCTCCAAGGCAAATCATTTAACATGTTTTTCTTTATATACACATTGGCAAAGAATTACTAGAGGGTTAAGTATAATTTTCCTTCTACTGTATATTAATTTGATTTGTAAACTGGAGAGCCTGATCTTTATTATAGCAGATGAAGCCAGAAAATATTAATTATTAGTTATGAAATAGGACTTTTTGTACTCAAAAGACCCCTCAGAAGCCTTGTCCTCAGACGCGAGGCCGCATGTGTCGGTCGTGTCTGAAAGCTCCTTCTCCGGCACAGCCCACTCACCGTCCCCGGCTGGGCACTCTCACTTCCGCTGACCCAGGATGACTTGATCGCTGAGTCAGCCTCAATCTAAACACAGCTCGTTCTAACTCAGTTTTCTCCTGCGTTGGCATCAAAACTGTACAACCCTGTCATTTTTGGATTCTAAATCTTGTGTTTTTCTTTTTGTCCACCAATATAACTGTTAGCAAATCAGAACTTCTTTGAGGCTCAGTTTCCTCAACTGTGACATGGGACTCTAGCCTCAGCAATACAGTCTCATGAGTACTACAAGAAACATACCACAAACAATGCATTTCATTACATCTAAGTAACTGTTTTCTTGTTTTTGAGTTTTGTGCCTGGCCTTCTTCCAGTCCACCACAAGCGTTGCCACATTCCGTGTCCCAGCGCGTGTCCTAATCCGCAGCAGTCAGAGGCGGACCCCTGACAGAATTCACCAGACTCAAGCTTCCAACTTGCTCAACAAGTACAACAAGTCCTGCTGAAGGAACCTGCGGGGCGCAGCCTTGGAGGTGCGGGTTTGTGATTGCTCATGGGGAGTCACCTCCCTGTCAGCTTTATCTCGCCTTCTCATCATGTGACTCAGTCCCTGCTGTCCCCACCCCCTCCGAGTGTTTCGTGTGCTGGTCTGGGAAAGCTTTACCAAGGGCCTCACTGCCCAGCTGCTCACCATCAGCGTCTCCAAAACCTAACAGTGGGTACGTACCGTAAAAAGCAAAGCAAAACCAAACCTATGTCTAATCTCTACCTGTCTCAGATAATTCTATTTAGATTTACCACAGAGTTAAGTCAGAGTGCAAGACTGGTCTAGTACAAGTCACAGTAAAAACCTCAAAACTGATAAAAAGGATTTCACACACATACATAAACCAAAAGAAAATTTTTCTATAATCCAAAGGAAATATTCTAAAGGAGATATTCTGAAATTCAGAGTACTTTCATTTCAAGGACCATACACTTGGAGAGAATTCAAATCAACACAGAAGTTTCTGTCATTCCTTCTGAGAAGAACCAGAAAGCATCATTAAAATAGAAATTATTACCAATTACGTCTGCAATATATGTTCTTATTAAGAGTAGATAGAAAAGTGATTGATAAACTGGCATCTATACTGTTAATTTGTCTTTTGTTGTAAATCCATATTACTGCTCCGAGGGCAACTTAACAGAAAGAAAGACAACCTCAAACGGTTATACCAAGGCTCTGACATACATAAATAGACTCTTCCGTCAACAATGTGCTACAGCTATTTGAAAAAAATATAAAACCAGAAAGGACCTACATCTGAGCAGAAAAGAAGACAACATTCTCTGTGCATAGAGCAGAGGACTCTGAATCATGTGTCTGGCCCTTTTACGTACGTATTCACCCAGCTGTGCTGTCCAACGAGGTAGCCTCTAGACACATGGAGCTACATAAAATAAGTTAATTGAAATTAAACAAAATTCAAAATGTAGTTCCTCAGTTCCACTAGCCCAGTGCTCAATAGACATATGCAGTCAGTGCCTACCTGACTGGCCAATGCGGATACACAGCATTTGCATCTCTGCAGAACACTGTCAGGTAGTGCTGCAATTAATATAGACCGAAACAGTACTCTCTGCAAGGCCAATTTCAGATTTAGTAAATGCCATGTACTTACTCAGGCTTTTAAGAGATGTAAAACTTGATAGATAATACACTGAGTGGTCTTTTTTAGGTATGTTAACCACAGCTTGGTTTTTCTATAACAATTCCAGTATTTCTTGTATTTGTATTACTTGCAATAACGTGAACTATTAAAGGTAAAAGTAAATGCAATAAATTAGATTATTTTTAGGACTTTTTATATAAATAAATAGACAGAATCTTTTGTCACACAGTGGTCCCAAATTGTGATGCAAGAAAACAAACAAACCAAACCAAACCATGTATGTGGTAAATGTAGCCAAGCAATTTCTCCTGGAATATGTCTTTTCTCTGAGTAACTCTAGGCACCCCCATGCCTGTGTCCTGCCACTCACCGAACTCTAGGTGGGTCTGAGGTGGGTGGAGCAGCTGAGCCACCTCCCTGCTGATATCTGCAGGGAAGAAAGTACACTCTCTGCACCACCACTGGGACTCCAACTCCTGACCACGTGGCGGCTCCTTGGCTTTCTACTGTATCCAGGAGAGAGTCCCTCAGGGGAGCTGGAGATGAGAGGTGCTGTTTTGCTTCTTTGTGCTTGTGGGCCCATTCTGTCCTCACAGTGGTGAGACTACACATAACCTGGCCAAGACATGCAAAGGGGAAAATTTCAGTTTGACTCATGATAGCACACTACAAACAAATAATATTTTTAGGTAATCCTCTGATGTAAATGCAGAACACTAAAGAGAAAATAAATATAAAAAACAAACCTATACATATAAAAAAACAAGACCTCAATGTCTCCAGGTAACTAGCAAGGAGGCCAGGTGAGCAAGAGTATTTCCTTTGATGGAAACAGACCATCGTTTTTTTTTAAAAATATTTTTTCTGTATTGATTTTAGAGATAAAGGAAGGGAGAGGGAGAGAGAGATAGAAACATTGATGAGAGAGAACATTGACTGGCTACCTCCTGCATGCCCCCCACTGGGGATCGGACCCACAACCTGGGTATGTGCCCTGACAGGGAATCGAACTGGCGACCTCTTGGTGCATGGGTCGATGCTCAACCACTGAGCCACACCAGCCTGGTGAAATAGACCATCTTAAGACTTTGAAAACATGTAGAAAGTTCTGTTATTAAAATATTTCATGGCAATTTAGAAAATTTTTCTTTTATGAGTTAAAATCCCAACAGGACAAATTTAAAAACAAAATAGCTCTGACCAGTGTGGCTCAGTGGTTACAGCATCAGCCCGAGCACTGAAGGGTCTTGGGTTCAATCCCTGGCCGGGGCTGGGGTTCATGCAGGAGGCAACCAATTGATGTCTCTCTCACATGGATGTTTCTCTCTCTCTACCCCCCTTCTTTCCTTCCACTGTCTCTAAAAAGCAATGGAAAAAATATCCTCAGGTGAGGATTAGCTAAAATAAATAAATAAATAAATAGTTATCAAATTATTTAAAAAAACAATAAAAGAATGACTAAGGTTCAAACAACAAGTGTTGGCAAGGGTGTGGAGAAAAGAGGACTCTAGTACACTGCTGGTGGGAATGCAGACTGGTGCAGCCACTACGGAAAACAATATGGTGTTACCTCAAAAAATTAAAAATTGATCTTCCATTTGACCCAGTGATCCCGCTTCTAGGAATATACCCTAAGAAGCCTGAAACACCAATCAGGAAGAATATATGTACCCCCATGTTCATAGCAGCACTATTTACAATAGCTAAGATCTGGAAACAGCCCAAGTGTCCATCAGTAGACGAATGGATAAAAAAGCAGTGGTACATATACACAATGGAGTACTATGCAGCGGTAAGAAAGAAACATCTCTCATCCTTTGAGACGACATGGAGGGACCTGGAAAGTATCATCCTAAGTGAAATAAGCCAAGCAGAAAATACCACATGATCTCACTTATATACGGAATATAATGAACATAACAGTCTGAGGAATACGGTAGACCCAGAAACATGGAAGTAGGGCACAGACTGACATCCCCCAGAAGAGGGGATTGGGGGGGTGGGAAGAGATAAACCACAGAACTTATATGCATGTATGCATGACCAATGGACATGGTCATCTAAACGGGGGTGGGGTGGGGAGGGGGTGCCAATGGGGTAAAAAAGGAGAAATACCTGTAACAAAAAATAAATAAATAAATAAATTAATTAAAAAAAAAAAGAATGACTAAGGTTTAATAAAAACAAGCCATGTTATTCAGTATTTGTTACATGCAGTGCATTAGGCCAGGCACTCTACATGTTCATGTAGCCTCCCAACAACCCTTTACAATATTAAATATCAAAATAAGAAAATAACACTTCTGGAGTATTTCCTACATTCCAGGTACTTTACTTTACATAATGTGATTATATAACAAATATATCTAACCTTACAACAAACCAAGGAAATAGATTATATCATTATCACCATTTTACAGATAAGAACACTGAGACACAGAGACATTAAAGAGGTCACTTAGAAGAAAGTGGCAGAGGCAGGACCGAACCAGATACCTGGTTCCAAAGTCCATACTCTTCACTACATGCTACAGCTTCATCAGCACTGCTGATGAAACATATCTCATGAATTGGAAGCAGTAAAATACTTTGTGTACAATTAAATTGATTAGAGCACTCCTTTTCACATAATTCCCTCTAGACACTCTTTTTTTTTAATGTTTTTCTGATAAATTGATTTTAGAGAGAGGGAGAGGGGGAGTGGGAAGGAGATGGTGGGGGGAGAGGGGGAGAGAGAGAGAGAGAGAGAGAGAGAGAACATTGATTGGTTGCCTCCCCCACGTGCTCCGACTGGGGATAGAACCTGCAACCTGGGTACATGCCTTGACCAGGAATTGAACCCACCACCCTTTGGTGTATGGGATGATGCTCCAACCAACTAAGCCACATCGGTCAGGGCTCCAGACACTTTTGATAGTTAAAGGGAGATTCTGCTTGATTACACAGATACCAAACAGGATGAAAGTATGTCTGCCTTTCAGTCTTTCTTGTGTTCCCTCATGCTGTCTGTCAGGTGCAGCTTCCGTTCAGTGCTGATTCAGGTACTTGGTGACCTGAGGCAGGTGCACTGGAGCCTTGGAGCTCAGAGGGGTCCTAGGAGGGCACTTTATGCCCATGGCAAGCGAATTTCAGTAGTTCCCTAAATTCATCTTGGCAGATGATCATGGCTTAGGGCCAATAAAATTCCAAAAAAAAGTCTCCAGTTTATAACTTCAAGTTTATACAGCTCTTTTTATCCCAAGGGATACAGATATTGTGAAAAAGAAAAATGTATTTTTTAATAGTATAAGAGGGCTTAAATAAAAATCTTAGACAATTATAAAATATGAACAGAAAAAAAATGAATACTCATATATATTAAATTAGAATAAAGATTAAAAATACACAATTAAAAATATAAAATACTATAGAAATCACAACTAAAAACTGAACTGAACCATAATTTCTTTTTTTTAAGTATGTTTTTATTGATTTTTTTTTAAGAGAGAGAGGAAGAGCAAGATAGAAACATTAATGTGAGAGAGAAACATCCATTGACTGCCTCCTGCACGCCCCCTCCTGGGGATTGAGCCCGCAACCCAGGCATGTGCCCTGACTGGGAATCGAACCAGGACCTCCTAGTCCATGGGGTGATGCTCAATCTACTGGGCCACACCGGCCCGGCTGAACCATAATTTCTTTAGGCATAACAATAATACAAGATGCTCTTACACATATATTTGCTGAATATTTGAAGAAAGAGCAAAAGTAACCATCTTCACTTATAACCCTTTCAAATATTATTATAAAGCATAAAACATCTAAGCCAAAGAGAGTTACCTGGCTTTCAGGTGAATTCTCTGTTAGACTCTTAAATCTAAACATCTGGGCCAAAGTGATGTTTCTTCTTGGAAGGGGTATGTCCCAAAAGTTCACTTCATGTGTTGTTCCTGAATCTTCTTTGGCAACAACTTTCTGACAGAAATAAGTGTTCAGAATAACAGGGCAACTTCCATTTGGGATAATAAGCTTTTGCCTGGAAAGGGAAAAAATACAACAGTTTATTTGCAAAGCTGGATTCCCGTCATGTTCTTGCTAAGTCAGGAATACAAAGAGCAATGCCTTGCCTGTTGTGTACAAATAAAACTAAGCCAGCCCGCCGCGTGACGGCCGCCCTCACACGCTCCAGAGTGACTGTCAAAGGGTCTGCTTTCACTGTTGCAGTGAAGGGAGGCCGGCGAAGTGCGTGGGCGGGAGCTCTCTCAGACCCTCCGCAGGTAGATGACGGCCTTAGAAGGCCTCAGGGAGAAATGCAGGGAGTGAGCAAAGACTATCAACAAGCTCCAAGAATTACTCATCAAAATAACTGTCATTACAAATAAAATCTTTATACATTCTGACAGCTCTAATCTTTCAAATAACTTGACATTAAATGTCAAAGGAATGCTTTCAAATGGACCGAGCCACTGAAATACCTCATGTTTAAGTAGAGAAGCAGTCTGGGAGTATAACAGACGTATTCTCTTGGCTCCCCTCAGTCATCTGATTCTAGAAGATGAACACTCATGTCTGAACATGTAGTACTGCTTAACATTAAGGAAAAATTATGATGTCCACTTTCGGGAAGATGGACTAGACATACTTTCTCCTGTTTCTTTCATTAAATACAACTAAAATACCTAACCTAACATATAAACCAAATATAAGAAGACATTGAGAGGTGGAGAGAAGAAGGAAGAGCAGCCAGGACTTAAAGCCCTTGGGATTTAAGGAACATGGAGTTTCTGACTTTTCTTTTACCTCTTACATTTTAGACTTGGAGATGAAGAACGTGGAAATCTGGAAACAGTAGTGGGTACAAACAGAAGAAGTCCCTACAAAAGTTTATTCCCTTCAACCAAAGGACTAGGGAAGGGGCAGCCTAGCGGACAGAAACCTTGTAGAAAACAACTGCTCCACTCCAGGCAAACCTCACAGAAACACTGTTACCCACCTCCACACACACCAGCCCTGGGTGAGTGGGGAACTGACTTCCACCCTCATCAGGCTGTAAGGAGGAGTCCCTCTAGCCCAGTTGGGGTGGTGTGAGAGAACCTGGGACAAGGTGCTGGGCCTTTCGTTCCTGCAGGCTTGTAACGAGTTCCCCCACAGACGCATGATGACAGCGGAGACCCCCTGGGGGGCCTGGGCTTGCATCCCCACCAGACACTAGTAATCAAACATCCCTCCTCACCCCTCCGGCTCAGGTCAGAATAGGCCTAGCAGAACGTCAGGCCTTGAGCTACTGCCCGCATTACCGAGGCCACCTTCCACCCTGTGACCTTATTCCCGGGTTGCCGGTGGAAGCCATATGGGGAGCAGGAAGAAGCCAGGTGATGTTAGGGAAGCCTAGCAGGAAGCTGGAACTCACAGCTGCCCAGCTGCAACAGGGAGTCTCCTCCCTCAGGTATCAGTGGAGGTCAGGTGGGGATCTGAACTTCTACCTCCACCTGGCAGTAGTAATCACCCCGGCACCCCACTTACCCTCTCAGAGTAGTATATCAGACAAAGCCACATAAATAAATGTAAAGAAGATCCGGAGAATCAAAGAGCCAAAACGTACAGGTTGCCATAAAAAAATCACTTGTTATACTAAAAACCAGGGGGGATAAACTCAAATTGAAAAAAAAAAAAAGACAATTAATAAATTACAATGCTGAGATGGCACAGATGTTAGAACGGTCTGACAAAGATACTAAAGCAGTCATTATAAACATGCTTCAATAAACAATTTGAAATGCAAACAAGACAAAAATAGAAAGTTTCAGCAAACTAATATACAATCTTGGCAAAGAAATATTTTTAATAAAAATTTTAGAACTAAGAAATATAATAATAAAAATAAGAAAACTCAATGATGGGTTCAACAGCAGAATGGAGGAATGAGAGAAAAGAATAAGTAAACTTAAAGATAAAATAATAGATCTTAACCAATATGAACAACAAAGAAAACAGACTGAATAAACAATGAACAGAACCTCAAGATCCGTGGAAAGAAATATAAGTGGGAAAATATAGGTAAGTACAATAGGCTTTTCTACTCCTGTGGAGTTTTCAAAATTTTATTTGGATTTGAGGCAAAATTACAACCAGGTCTGATATGGTTCTCAATGTATGCACTGGAAATATTTAGGACAATGATATTATAAATGAGGACAGTAAAGGGATATAAGAAGTAAGATTTGTATACTTCACACAAATGGCAAAATGTTCACCTAGTAGACTGTGATAAGTTATATATACACAATGCAATGAGTACAGAAATAGCTATAAAAAGAGATCTACAAAAACATAAGCAAATTAAAATGAAATTCTAAAAAATGTTCAAGTAATCCACCTGAAGCCAGGAAAAGGAAAGAAACACAAAGAAACAAAACACAAAAAGGTAGACTTAGTCCTAGTATATCAACAACTGCATTAAGGGTAAATGGTTTACATAAACCTATTAAAAGATTAGCAGCCCTGGCAGGGTAGGTCAGTTGGTTAGAGCATGGTTCCAATACACCAAGGTTTTGGGTTTGATCCCCGGTCAGGGCACATACGAGAATCAACCAATGAATGAATAAGTAGGTGGAACAAGAAGTCAATCTCTCTCTCTCTCTCTCTCTCTCTAAATAAATAAATAAATAAATAAATAGTAAAAAAGACAGATTAGCAGAATGGATTATAAAACAGGATCCATCTACATGCTATCTATAAGAAATTCACCTCAAATATAAAGATAAAGGTAGGATTAAAGTAAAAAGATGGGGAAAATAATCATGTAGACATTAAACATGACTGCAAATATAGTGGGGAAGAAATACTAATACCACACAAAGCAGGCTTCGGTGCAAAAGAAATGATCAGAGACAAAGAGGAACATTACATGATGAAAGGGTTGTCCACCAAGAAGACATAGCAATTTTACATGTGTATGCACCAAACACCAAGATTCAAAACACATGCAGCAAAAACTAATAAAACTGGCAGGAAACAAATCAACAAATCCACAACTAAAGTGGAGACTACAATTCCCCTCTCTCAATATTTAATATAACAACTAAAAAGTATCAGCAGATTACATGATTGCTCATATAGAAAATTACAAGGAATCAACAAAATAATTCCTAAAACTAATCAGTGAATTCAGCAAGGTCATAGCATAACACAAAATTCCAATGTATTTCTATATACTATCAATGAACATGTGGAACCAAAACCAAAAATCTAAATCATTCATAATTGCAAAAATACAAAAAACCTTTGATAGAAATCTAACACAACATGCAGATGACTTGTATTCTGAAGCTACAAAACACTGCATAAAATAACAAATGAAGAGACACACCATATTTATGGACTGAAAGACTCAACGTCATAAAGATGCCAATTCTCCCCCAACAGTTACACAGATGTAAAGTAATTCTCATCAAAATCCCAGCAAAATTTTCTGCAGATATACATAGTCCACATGGGACATCAGCTAGATGGCAAAATAAGGCCCTTCTCACATTCCCCACCACCAACAAATTTACACATTTGTCAGTCATGGCCCAAAGTGGCTTTGTGGGAGCATGGTATTCAGGTAGGACATTGAAAAAGCCTAGTGGAGCCTAAGACTGAAGATGGCCATTTTGAGAATGTGGGCATATGCGTAGGTGGTAGAAATGCCAACTTTGGTCCTGGCTACAGACCTGCAAACCAGTCTCATCCCTTTTGGACTGGGCTACAAGCCCCATCTGGCCTTGGTCCTGCCACCTGCACCATCTGCCAGGGGACCTAGGAGGAGCCACACCCCCTCATCCCTTTCTTTTTTTTTTTTTTTTTTTTATCCTCACCCGAGGACATTTTTCCATTTTTTGTTCAGGTAGAGTGGGAGGGAGAGAGAGGAACAGAGAGAGAGAGAGAAACATCGATGCGAAAGGAACACATCGAGTGGCTGCCACCCGCACAACCGACCAGGGCCGGGGACAAACTGCAACCGAGGTACGTGCCCTTAGCGGGAACCGAACCCGGGTCTCTCAGGACCGCAGGCTGAGGCTCTAACCGCTGAGCCAAACCGGCCAGGGCCCCCCTCATCCCTTAGGTAACAGTCCAGCCAACCTCAATCCCAGCTGTGGACCTTAAATCAGTCCATGAGCCAGATCCAGCCAGGTTTGCAAACCATATTCTGATAAGGATTCATACCCCAAATATATAAGGACCCATACAACTCAATAGCAAAACTCCCAAATAACTTGATTAAAAAATGGCCAACAGGTATATGAAGAGGTGCTCAACATCACTAATCATCAGGGTAATGCAAATCAAAACCACAATGAGATACCACCTCATATCTGTTACAATGGCTGTTATCAAAAGATAAGAAATAACAAGAGTTTTGAAGGTGTTGTGAAAAGGGAAGCCTTGCACACTTTTGATGGGAATGCGAACTGGTGCAGTACAGAACTTCATTAGAAAATTTAAAACACAACCGCCACATGATCTAGTAATCCCCCTTCTGGGTAGGCACCTGAAGGACATGAAATCAGGATCTCAAAGATCTGTAGTCCCACGGTCACTGCAACATGACTCCCAACAGCCAAGACAAAGAAACACCCTTTGTCTGTTGTTAAAGAAAATCACACACACACACACACACACACACACACACACACACACACACACACGCACTCACTCATAAAATGGAATATTATTTAGCCACAAAAAGAAGATAATCCTGCCATTTGCAAAAGCATGGATATGGATGGACCTAGAAGACATTATGCCAAATGAAATAAATCAGACACAGAAAGATAAACACTTAATCTCACTTATATGTAGAATTGAAAAGAGTTGAACTAGAAGCACAGCGTAGAACTGTAGTTGCCACGGGCTATGGGTGAGATAAATGGGGAGATGTTTGCCAAATGGTACAAACTTTTAGTTATTAGATAAATAAGATCATGGATCTAATGTATAGCATGGTGACTTTAGTTAATAATATTGTATTGTATACTTGAACTTTACTAAGAG